TTTTCTCACTGATGGCCCCCTCACAACTAGTGGTGGCGACAACCCAAGCCCAGCGATCTCAGCTGAGTTACCATCTTCCTTATCCATCCAATGAGCGTACATCCATGTCATGTTGCATCAAATGTCACATCAACCGTGGACCACGTCACCAAGATTCTTGCCAAGTGAGTATCAAAGCGGCGGAAACATCGAAGCAAGACCGCAAGCTCGAAAGACTCGCCGTGTTACGAGTGCAATGGAGTGAGCGAACGAGGATTGCACTATCGAAGCAAGAGTACAATGAGCGAAGGCATGAGCGAAGAATATATAGCGAAACTACAGTGGTAACGGTAATGTGTGGAAATTGGAATGCGCGACGGGCCTAGCGCCGAGGGTGGGAAATGCCGAGGCGGAGGTCCGGAGCGCGGGTTACCAACCGAGCCGTGAGGTTGGGTCGCGGCGTGAACAGTGGCGGGAACAGTATCGAGGCGAGTGTCGCGAGTGGTAACGGTGTACTGTTGGATGCTGGTGGCGGGAACAGTGGTGTACGCGCTGAGAAGGGACGCGGAGTAAGGAAAAGGAATTTTCCTTACACTACCCACCCCCCCCCCCCCCCCTAAGGAGGCCCTCTTTACGAAAGCGCATGCACATCCCGGAAATTATGGCTTCGCAGGTACTCGGTGAGGACAGGGTGATTCTCAATTCTGTCCAGGGGAACCCAGTTGTCCTCCGTGGGCGTGCGATCTTTCCAGCGGATCAGGAATTCGATTCTGCGGGCTCCCCGTGGGTCACGTACTCGATGGCTCAGGATTTTTTCAGGCGTGATGATTGGCTCCGTTGGTGGCCGTGTCATGCTGGCGGGGCGGTTGCGAGGCAGTTGGCTGGTGGATGGCACGTATGGGCGAAGCAGGCTGACATGGAATGACGGGCTGACGTACCAGTCAGCAGGGAGGAGGAGGTTGTCAAATGTTGTAGCCTATAGTGAGGTTTGTCTTAGGGGGTACAAAACTTAGGGTTAGCTATATGTACCCCAACCAACATCAATGCATCATCCATTCTTCATTCTGACATGGTATCAGAGCGGTTAGGATCCTGTGGGATCCCGTTCCGCCGTTCTCCGTTCGTACCACCCGAGCCTGATCCTAGCTCTCGTTCGTCTCCTTCTCGTTGTTACCGAGCCTAGCGCCGAGCCACGCTCTCGTTCGTATCGTTCCAGCTGTTACCGCCCCCCCGTCGCGTCGCCTTCCCCCCCCTCGAGACGCGCCCGTCCCTTTCCCCCTGTCGCGTCGCGCTCCCCCCGTCGCGTCGCGTCCGCGCCTTCCCCCCGTCGTGTCGCCTTCCCCCTGTCCCGTTGCGCCCCCCCCTTTCCCCCCGTCGTGTCGCCTTCCCCCTGTCCCGTCGCACCCGCCCCTTTCCCCCCGCCACGTCGCCCTCCCCCTGTCCCGTCGCTTCCGCCCTCTCCCCCCGTCGCGTCGCCCGTCCCGCAGCGCCCGCCACTGTCGCTCGCGACCGCGCTCGTCGCCGCCGCGCCTGCCGCCGTCGCCCGCCCCCTGCGCGCCTCGCCGCGGCCCCGCCGTCGTCGCCCGCCGCTGCGCGCGTCGCCGCTGCGCCCCCTGCCGTCGCCCGCTGCGCGCGCTGCTGGCCCCTGCTGCCGAGCGCGCTGCCATCGCCCGCCGCTGCGCCCGTTCCCGTTCCCCGCTGCTTAGTCCCCTGTTACCTCCCGCTGTCACGCCCGCTGTGGCGTCCGCTCCTCCCCTGTCCCAGAGTACCGCCGAACCCTAATTTGCCTCTCACCTACTGCTGTCCCCTCCCTCTCCGTTCGCGTTCGTTTTCACTATGGCGACTCAGCGTGTCCTTCGTTTCGACGCTGACGGTAGACCTCTTGATTTTTCCGTCTGGCTTCTTCGTGCTCGCCGTCTGTTAGAGAGTCAGGTCCAGGCAGGCGAGACCCTCTGGGCGCACGCTACTGGTGCCCTACCTGCGCCCCCCGACCCTACGCCTTTAGGACCTGCCCCTGACGACGCCGCTAGAGCCCGCTTTGCCACTCAGCGCGCTGACAGGACGGCTTGGACGTCACGTGACGCTGCGGCCTGCATCGCGCTCAGCAGCCTCCTCCCTGAGTCTGAGGAGGTTCACTTCACTCAGGTTCGCACCGCTGCTGCGTACCTCACTGCGATTAAGGCCCGCTACTCTACTCCCGCTGCTGTCTCTCTTGGCCGCCTGTTCCTCCCGTTCCTGTTTCCTGACCTGGCGTCTTTTGAGCGCTCTGCTGACTTGATCGCTCACCTCCGCTCGCTCGACGCTAGTTACCGCGCTGCTTGCACTGAGGCACAGCTTGCACTGCTTCCTCCCCCTATGGCGATTACTATCTATTTCATCGCCACTAGCCTCCCTGACCGCCTTGCCTCCGTTCGCGACGCGCTTCTGCTGAAGCACCCTAGTGAGCTCACCGTCGAGGTCCTTGAGTCTGCACTCAAGGACGTCGAGAGCAACCTTCGCTCGGTAGCCGCTGCCTCTGGTGCTGTGCCCCCCCCACTCTTCCACGGGTGCACAGTCCCGCAGTTACCCACCTTTACTGCCTCACTTGCCACTGCCGCTACTGACGCGACTGCAGCTGCTGTTACGACTGCGTCGCGGTCCCGCGGTAGGAGTGGCAAGAAAGGCGGTTCTGGTGGTGGTAGTGGAGGTGGAGGCGGAGGTAGTGGAGGTGGCGTTGCGCCTGGCGGCGGTGGAGGTTCAGGGCCTGGAGAGGCGCCTCGTGCAGTGACTGGTGACTCCACTGCGCCTGCTGGTGGTGGCGACGCCCGAGTTCGTCAGTCGCCTCCTGTACTTCCTGCCCCGGTTGGTGGAGCAGCGGCGTGGTACCAGGCTCAGCGTCAGCAGCAGCTTCTGCAGCACCAGCAGCCCCTCTCCTCCCAGCAGCCTCAGCAGCAGCAGCGGCAGCAGCTGGCTCCAGGGTCGGGGCTGCGTCAGACCCAGCGCGGTGCTGCTTACACTCCCTGCACCTACCAGGTTCTGACAGGCACTCGTCGTGGCCACCCTTGTGGCCGGTTTCACCCCCCTGGTCAGTGCTTTGCTCAGCTCACTGACACGGTTCGTTTGGTCTACGGGGTTGGTGCTCCTGCCCCTGACTGGCTGCCTCTTGTTCAGCGCTACGGCTCCGCTCTGTGGGGCATGTCTGCTGAGCAGTTAGTTGATCTGATTGGTACTCCCCATGCTATGTATGCTGTTGTTGACTCTAGTGTTTCTGACTCTGTTTACTCTGGTGTTGTTAGCTTAGGTGCTAGCCTTGCTCAGTTGCCTGTTGCTAGTGTAGGTTCTTGTGTAGACTCTAGTCCAGCGGCTACCTCAGAGGACGGTTCGCTGTCGTTCACGCTGGACTCTGGAGCCTCTCACTGCTTCTTTCGTGACAGCACGACACTTACGCCTCTTCCTGCGCCTGTTTCTGTGGCGCTGGCTGATCCCACTTCGGGACCAGTCACCGCGCGTCACACTACCACCTTGCCGTGTCCGGCTGCTCCTTCTGGGTCTCTCACTGGGTTTCACGTCCCCTCGTTCTCCCGGAACTTGGTGGGCGTGCGACCCCTCGTGAGTCAGCACGTGGGTGTGTGGTTTGAGCCTTCTGGAGAGACTGCGGTGTGTGTTGACGGGGACTCTTACCAGCCCCTCGCCACTTTTGCTGCTGAGCCAGGCTCCGGTCTCTACACTCTTCACACTGGCCCGCGCGCTCAGCAGCGACTGCAGCAGCAGCAGCAGCCGCAGCAGCAGCAGCAGCAGCAGCCGCAGCCGCAGCCACAGCCGCCCCTCCTGCCCCCGGCCCCTGTTTTGCCCCCCGTTCGAGTCCTCGCGTCTCACCAGGTTGCTCCGTCCCCCCAGGTAGCTGTGTCTTGTCAGGTTCCTCCGTCTAGTCCGGTCGCTGCGTCGTGCTCCTGTCGGTCGCTTGCCCACCCCACCGTTTTGTGGCACCACCGGCTGGGGCACCCTTCTCCTCCTCGTCTTCGCGCTATGTCTCGTCAGCGTCTTGTCTTAGGTCTCCCGCGTGTCTTGCCGTCGCTGCCGCCGTCTCTTGCACCACCGTGCGGTCCTTGCGTCGAGGGTAGGCTGCGCGCCACCCCTCACTCCTCCTCCCTTCGTCCGGCCACCGAGCCTTTTGAGACGCTGCACTTGGACGTCTGGGGCCCCTCTCCTCGCCCTGGCCCTGAGCGTGAGCGTTTCTTTTTGGTGGTCGTTGACGACTACTCCCGCTACACCACAGTGTTCCCCCTGGCGAGGAAGTCTGAGGTGACTTCTACGCTGATCAGGTGGTTGCTTACCACCCAGGACACTCGTGGTCGTCGTGTCAGCTGTCTCCACTCCGACCGCGGGGGCGAGTTTCGCTCCGGCATTCTCGCTGGATTCTGTCGCGAACAGGGCATTCGTCAGTCCTGGACGCTTCCGGAGTCCCCACAGCAGAATGGGGTTGCTGAGCGTCGCATAGGCCTGGTCATGGAGATTGCCCGCACCTCCTTGACTCACGCCCGTGCCCCCCATTTCCTGTGGCCATACGCGGTCAGGTACGCCGCGCACCAGCTGAACCTCTGGCCACGCGTCTCTCGGCCGGAGGCTTCACCGACCAGTCTTTGGACAGGGTCCCCTGGTGTCGCGTCGAGGTTTCGTGTCTGGGGGTGCTTGGCTCTTGTCCGCGACACCTCCGCGGACAAGCTCTCGCCTCGCGCCGTTCCTTGTGTCTTCCTTGGTTTCCCTGAGGACTCCTCTGACTTCACCTTTTACCACCCTCCCTCTCACCGGTTCTTTGACTCCCGTGACGTCCGTTTCGAGGAGTCCACCCCCTACTACGTCAGGTACCCCAGTCGAGGTCTCCCGGTTCCTCCTCCCCCCCTCTTCCTGACAGCCGCTCCCCCGCCTGCTCCCCCGGTACAGCCTCCCCCCCCTGGTCCAGCCCCGTCTGGTGTGTCTCAGGCTAGCCCTCCCCCTTCGGTAGCCCCCCCTGTACAGCCTCCCTCCCCACAGTCTTCCTCGCC